ATAGAAAATTAATTTTCTTAAAAGAACTAATGGAATTTTCTTCAGAAAAATAAACCTTGAGATTTGAATAGTTGAGCATATTGTTACCTTTTTATGAAGGAGTTATATTCCATCTAATATTCAGTGCAACATAATTAGAAATAAAGGATGCCTGTATAAATCTAGGTCCTGAGATTACGCTACTCAAAGTCATAGTCTCACTGACTCTATCTCTAGCCAAAACTCATGGCTCTATATTTGTCCATATAATACGAAGGTTCATGTAGTACTAAATTTATTTATATACAGGTTAATCAAACTGACCGGATCGGCCGGTTAGAGCAACATAGATAAGACATATATTGATAACATAGCTAGTAAAGATCGTGATAAGCATTACAACAGAAAGTGCTACATGCCTTGTTTTAGGATCATCATTGCATAGTAACTTTAACACATTTTTTACGAATATAAGAAGAACCGACTCATTATATTCGTTATGATGGGTTGTCCTTCAAAAGTAATAATAGTAATATATTTTGAAAAAGTAGACTTTTGTTTACAGGAAGTTGTCGGAGACAGTTCTCCTGCCACCAGCTGTATAGTCATTGAAGTCCCAGATAGGTAACAGTCTTTTCTCCAATTTTAGTCCCAAAACATGGTGGTCCTGTCCACTTAAATTCATATTTCCAAAACTTGATCTTAAGACACTTTTCATGATACATTTTCCAACTGAGAAATTTTTTTTGAATAATTTTTTCTAAAGGCAATATGGAAAATATATCTATTGCTAATGCCAGGGGGTTTAAAGATTTTGACATGTTTCTGTGTGCTTCATGGAACATTACTTTGTTTTAAAATTCGGGGATGGTGATGGACCAAACCTCTGTAGAGTAAAAAGGTCGATGTTAGTTTCACATTTATTGAAAATATATTTCGGTCTGGGTTGACCCTCGTCAGTTCTAACGATATAATAACCATCAAAATCGGTTAAAAAAAATTAAAAAATTTTTTGTTAAAAATCACAAGAAAATAAAGAAACTAAAAAGATTATTCAAAATAAAAATTTTACATTGTTTAATTTTACTGTGTTGCCAAAAACTAATAAAACACAGAAAAATAGATAGTTCGTAGATCTGTTCAATAAAACTGACAAATTTCCTATATTGACATACAAAACACTTTTTAAGTGAGTTCCTTGATTCCTTGGAAAAGTGTTTTAAACTGAAAGAGTCCCGTCTTCTAGAATATGTGTTCCATTTTACACCATCTCATGTAGCAGAGGTAGGATTCTCGTATTTTATTCTAGAGTATGTGTTCCATTTTACACCACCTCATGTAGCAGAGGTAGGATTCTAGTATTTTATTCTAGAATATGTGTTCCACTTTTCACCACCTCATGTAGCAGAGGTAGGATTCTTGTATTTTATTCTAGAGTTTGTGTTCCACTTTACACCACCTCATGTAGAAGAGGTAGGATTCTTGTATTTTATTCTAGAGTATGTGTTCCATTTTACACCACCTTATAGCAGAGGTAGGATTCTAGTATTTTATTCTAGAGTTTGTGTTCCACTTTACACCACCTCATGTAGCAGAGGTAGGATTCTTGTATTTTATTCTAGAATATGTGTTCCATTTTACACCACCTCATGTAGNGGGATTTAATCTATGAGTTAAGCGAACATAGTTCAACCAGGCAGTAGTTCAAACGATGTAGCATACTTTGTAATAAATTATTATTTAAGAATTCCTGTTTAACAAACTCAATTATTTTATCCTCGAGTTCTATTTTAAACTGAAAAAATGGCATAAAAATGCTATTAAATTTTGTCTTTTTTGCCAATTAACTTGACTCCTAGTTCGCACAATCTGGACATCTTGACTACGGAGGTTTTTTTTTCAAACATTCCCCTTTCAGGATTTGTGAACACTCCCTTTAATTTAGGATCCCCGCTATATAAGCTGGATGCAAGAACTTCCTTTAACTGTTCACCATGTTTTCTTAAATGAAAACTCGAAAGGTAAATAATCGAATTAGAAAATAATCATTTTTATTTATTTATGAAATATACCCCAAAATATACAAAATTAAGTGTTTCACGAGAAAACATTTAAAAACCTCAAAAAATAGAGGTTGTGCGATAACTTTTTAATGGTACATTTATTTTTATAGAGTGTTGTGTTTGATTCACAACAGTACCCTTCAAATCTTTGTCTGATTAAGGATGAATCAAATAATTGATTAATTGATTGATTTTCATGTCTAGGAATGGGTTTAAATGGTGTAACTGCTCATCAACATAAACTTCGTTTTATCAGGTAAATCAGATTTTTTAAAAAATAAGAAATTGAAACCTGAAATTAAGCTGGATTGTTAAGATATTTCTGTAACATGGCATTGTGGATAAAAAAATATGAACAACAATAATTTTCCCTTTTAATTATTTGATTTCCCATTTGTTATACGTTTACAGTCCAATAAATTTAAAATTTAAACCAATAATTTTCCTGTAAACTTCTTTATTTCTCATTTTTCATGATTTGTACATCATTTACATACATATCTTTGTGTCAACAGTCTCAATAATATAAAATTTAAACCAATAATTTTCCTGTAAACTTCTTTGTTTCTCCAATAATTAAAAAAAAAACTAATTTTGAAAACGTATCCACCCCCAAAGTAGGAGTTTTGAACGTCGAATTTGCGCTCAAACTCAGGATTTACAGATCTTTAAAAAGTTTAATATGTCTCAAATGAATCCGAAAGAAGTTTTCCACAACACTGCATACTCAGTTCAACTACCTTACATAGCCGGTCACTCCCTTTAAATAGCATTTTGAACAGTACACACGTCTGTCAATCAAAGTGTTTCAAAAAACATAAACAATGTCTACAGTTCCTTAAATAAAGACTTTAAAACATTATTTTTCTTTAATTGTTTCCCTGTTTTCCTGGTTTCTACTTTCTTCATGTGGAGTATGGTTGTGTCTACTGCAGTCCCTTAAGAATTTGTACCATTATGCGTGTTTTCAAATAATGAAACTGTAAGCGTAATTTCAAGTGGCCATCCATGCAAAGAGGACAATACCCGATTCACAACGGTACCTTTGAAACCTTTAGATTATAAAATAGATACTATTTATTTTCATTTGCCAGTTCTAAGCGAAAGTGACTTGCGCATTCCTTGTTTATAAGCAGCAACGGAGAATCTCACAGAAATGAAAACTGTTTGAATCAGAAAGTTATTTCCACATTTTTCATCAGATAAAGGTTTCAAGGATACCGTCTTAATTCGGGCATTGCCATCTTTGCATGTAGGGACACTTAAAAATTACGCTTACGGTCCCTTTAAGAGACTTACTAAGTGACCTTTAAGTTTGAAGAGTACTTTGAACGAAAAGGTTTCTGTTAAATTAACATCATACAGCTGAATATTTGTTGGAAAGCGATTCGAGGATTTCTTTAAAAGAAAAGCAATAAAAAAAAGAAAGAAAAATAATAAAACATATCTCAAAGTATGTCCTTTTTTGTAAATCATTGTTCTATTTTAGTAGTGATATGTTTCCTCCCCTGGTTGGAACTGTACAGGATCCAACCCCTGTAATTACACTATTGTTCTATTTTAGTAGTGATATGTTTCCTCCCCTGGTTGGAACTGTACAGGATCCAACCCCTGTAATTACACTATTGTTCTATTTTAGTAGTGATAT